GGAGCTGTCCGCGTGCGGTGGCGCTTCGGTTCCTGTGTCCATCGTGTGGTAGTGGTGGGCCACGGCCAGGCCATGTCCCATCTGATCAGGGGCCGTTCCATCGAGTAGGGCGCGTCTCATCGGTTCAGGGCACGTCTCATCTACATTAAATGGAGAAGATAGAGAATTTCTTGCTCCACCATTCTGCTTTCCTCGATCGGCGCATCCTTCTTTAACCATTGTTCCCTTTCCTTTAAGTAGGAGCAGGGAGAGGGTTTTTGTTCCACTCCTTTGCCTGTTCTTCATCTGCCGCCGCCTTCTCTCTTCCTTTTTTGCCGTGAGCGTTCCTGAAAGCCACGGAGGTTTATAGGAAAGAAGAAGGGGGAGAGAGCGAGGGAGAAGAGAGGAACTCACTGATCTTTTTGCGATCCGGAGCGAAATGTCGGACTGGAGGTCGTCCACCGTGAGACAGTCGGTGTTGGAGGCTTTTGTCAAGAAGGGGTTTTTGCCGCCGCAGGAGGTGGCGCACTGGAGGCTCCCTGGGTGAGAGGAGTCTCCGCGACCTCCCTGGGAGAGAGGAATCTCCGCGACCTCATACCCCGCGCACTGGTTCCTGCGCGAGCTCCTCAACGAGTGGGGTCTGGAGCTGCAGCACCTTAACCCGATGGGGGTGCTACACATTGCTGGCTTCATTACCGTCTGTGAGGCTTTCCTCGGGATGGAGCCGCACATGGATTTCTTCCAGCGACTGTTCTCTGGGAGGACCCTGATGGCGGGGAGTTCGGCCGAGACCGCGCTGGTGGGAGGTTTCACTTTGCAGAGGAAGCCGAGCGTGGGAGGTTCGTACCCCGCGTACTCCCCCTATGACTCCAACCGGGGGTGGCACCGGGAGTGGTTTTACATCTGGAATCTGGCGGAGGCGCCGTTTCCGGCGTTCACCGGTGGGAGGCCGGAGAAGCAGAAAAGTTGGTCGTGGGGTTGCCCCCGCACGAAGAGGCACAAGGTGGAGGTCATCGAGGAGGAGCTACGGAAGCTCGTAAGGAGTGGCCTCGACGGGGTGCGAGTGTTCCACACCCTCTTCCGCCGCCGGGTTGCTCCGTTGGTGGAGAGGACGTGGCCGATGTGGTTGTACGGTGGCCGGTCGGACCTGGACCATGCGTCGCTGGAGGACCTATCAGACGATGAGGTCTAGAGTCGCCTTGGCCGGGTGCTGCAGCTGAGGCCCAAGGATACGGTTGTGGGGAAACCCATACCGTTCAATGCCTCTGCCATGTCTAACCTGATATGATCCCTTTATTTTGTTCGTGTTTCTTCCTCTGCTTTTCTTATTTCCTGATCTCGGGCCATCCATTTCGTAGGGGCTTGAAAGGTACAAGTCTCGGCAGCACCTTCCTAAGGGACCAGAGGGTAGGGCCTGGCAGGCTGCCCAGAAGGAGGCGGCGGACGCCCAAAAGAGGGAGAGAACCAAGGAGGTTCAGCGAAAGGAAGAGAAGAAGGAGGTCACCCGGCGTGTGAGGGCCAGGGAACGCAGGAGCGACATTGAGTCGGAACTCGCGTCGGAAGATCCTCCTACGGATTTGGACGACATGGTCTTCTCCGACGAGGAGGAGAGCCAGGAGGTCGTTGTGACCTTGGTGGAGAGTCACGACCCTGCGGCGACGTCAGCTGGTGAGGAGCAGGGGGCCGCGCGGCGTGCGGCGGTTCCCGCGTCGAGGAAGCGCGCAGTGAGCGCGGACCTTGTTGGCGAGCGAGCGGTGAAGTGGACGCGGTCACCGCGCTCCTCGGCGGCGTCGCCGGTCTTGCAGCCGAAGGAGGCCCTGCCTGCCGTGGGTGCGGTCGAGCAGTCCAGGCAGTCTGAGGGGCAGACTAGCTCCCGGTCGACGCGCGACTTGCAGTCGGAGGACGCCCCGCCCGCTGCTCCGGTCGGGGAGTCCCGAGCTGGAGGTCGTGGCGACCCGCAGGCCGGGCAGGAGCCGGTCGGGATGACCCCGCCCCGTCTGAGGTGAGGGGGCGTGGGTCGTAGCCTGGGTGCGGTCCTCATTCCGTAGGTCCATGGTCGTCTGAGTCTGCCTTCCGAGTCATGCTGCTTACCACCCGGTATGTTTCCTTTTGTTGCTTCTTCGATTTTTCGTTGGTCGAGTTTTTTCGTGTGGCTTACTTGTGATTTCCGTTAGCGGCCAGGGGATGCCGGTGTTGAGCATCGCGCCGACCCCCGTGCAGGGGGTTTGGAGGCCCACTCTGCAGTGTGTTGCAGCGAGCGAAGGGGGCAGCAGGGTGGCGGCGGCAAAGCCTTCCCTCCCGGGGGTGGTGCCCCCTAGGGCGGCTGCTGATAAGGCGGCAGCGGCGGCGTTCGTGTTGGCAGCGATCCCGGTGCCGATGGTAGGGGTTGCGTCGAAGGTAACTCTCGTGGCCCCTCCTCCGCCGGTCGTGGTGGAAGAGACGAGGGGGGCGAGCTCCCTATCTCGCCATGTGGAGGGACGCACGTTTTATCCTTGCCGTCAGAGCCGAAGGCGCCGGAGGGAAGTGCGGTCAGGACGGAGTTGGGATGCCTGGCGGCGTCCCATGCGAATGAGGTGGTGGAGATCCCGTCTGACGACGAGGCGGATATCGCGGCGGGGCCGCCGGTGTCGCCGCAGGAGCTGGCAGTGGTCCAGTTGGGCCAGGCCTTCCGATCGGAGACGTGGGGTCGGAGTAGGAAGTAGTGTTTTGGGCCAGGCCTTCCGATCGAAGGCCGCCTGGAGGCGGCTGGTGCCCAAAGCGAGTGCTCCGGTCGAAGAGGTGGGCCGAAGAAGTTGTCGAGCAGGCGTTTGTTCTTTTGGGTAGACCTTTCGGTCGGTGACCGGACTGTCCTTCCAGCCCGTCGTGTTTTAGACTCTTGGGCCGGCCCATGAACTACATGTTGTTTTCGTAGGCCAAGCCCTGGCATGGAAGCCGGCCCCGAGGGACCCCGGGTTTATAAACCCGACAACTTGTGTACCGCCTAAAAGCATCTGCTTATGCAATTTTTCCCCTCAATTAGATGACTGGAGATAGATTATGGATTTTCTTCTATATAGTGTCAGTATTTATTCATCGGCATATATAGTGTTGTACTAGTTCGTCTTTTTCGATACTACCAAAACTTCTAGATATAGAGATGTTCCCACACACATTCAAATAAATGACAATACATATGTATACCAGTATCGATGGACAAGACAAAGTACATTGCACCGTGTCTTTAGGGCGTATACAAATTGTCCTCCGTTAGACTACGATGCTCTTGTCCTCCTACATGTACAGATGTTCGGCTTCCCTTAATTTCATGATGTTTTTTTTTATGTGTGCTGCTGGTGGTTAGAGTATCTGAAAGTTTAATACAGTAGAGAAAATCATTTCCATGCGTCTGCGCTCTGCAGCGCTAGCTGTTAACTACTAAGTACATGACAAAGAGTGCGTCAGCTTAATTTCAATCTAGTACTTAAGATACTTAATAGAAAACCAAAGACAAGTAAAAGAAATGGCTGCGACGCCGGTGATGACTACTACTAATCATATGTGTTACTGGTCTAAAACGAATCATTTGTGTTTATAACCTTGAAGACCTTTGCATTTATACCTCTTTTTATTTAATTTTCCCCAATCCTTTTCACCAAACACCTGGTGATCGAACTATTTTTGTAGCACGTAAGCTAACAGGAACAGAGGAGTAACCGATGGCTTCACTCTCCCAACTTATATAGTGCTAAAGGTTCTGTTCAGAATACTGCATCTGATGGAGATTTAAGTACTCATTACGCAATGCAATTCCCTGTACAAGTTCATGCATTCTAAACAGATATTGCGTTAGTGGACTTAGACATTTGTATGAGATGAAGTTGGCGCCTTCGCATGGATTTTTCAGATCAAGCAACGCCTGACATCTGTTGCTGACCAAAGAAAGGGTAGTATAGCAAAGATTAACTAGCATATTATTCTACCAAACAGGTTCATAAAGGTATGGGATTAAAAACCACTATCCACAAACTAAAGTTACTTTCCACATCCAAGCGCAAGTTGCGCTACTTTAACTAAATTAACATACATCGACAGTAGGATTTTATCTTCAAGCATGTTTCTTTAGTTCATCTACATGTTAGATGTTTCTAAAGATCCCAACAAGAGCAATGGATCGTCGACGATGTCAATTAGTAGTAGCGACGTGACCACCTGCTCCACGATCAAAGTGATAATAATTATAGCATACCACTGAATAATTTGCACCTATGAAAAGACAAGTACTACCAGTATAGACCATTCGTCTTGTTTCAGAAAATTGCATTGGTGTAGGATTATCCACTGACGATACAGTTACAATTATCCACCTAGCTAGATTGGGATTACCACCTTTCAGACGACAGCATCAGTCAGGATGTGGTTTCTTTCAATTTAGATCTGCACTACTCATCTCAAAATTGCACAGATCATGGTAATAATGTTTCTAATTTGTCAGCATGCCACAAAAAGAACTAGAGTACTAATTAATCCAGGTTTTCTTGTATGGTATGATTCCAAATCGATCGATTCAGTCGGTAAAAAACTCAAAATAAATTTGTATTTTTTATGGAACGAAAAAGCAAGCGTGTGTTAATTACGTTGGAAGGGCCCCTAACTAATTGGTAATGATTACTGCACATGGAACCTTGTACCTAAAACCTTTCTATTTCAAAAGACACACACACCAGTCCTCATCAAAATTGTTGTGGCCCATCCCCATCACACTCCAACAACTGAAAGTACTACATAAAACAGCACGACATTTTTTTTGTCGCTAATTATATACTATTACACGCACCATTGGGCACTTGTACATATACAGGAGACCATGGAGGATCAGTGGACACTTGTGTGTAGCTAAGCTAGCTAGCAACCTTAGCTTGCAACTCAAGACCAGATCACCACAATTAGTTAGGCCAAATCACCCTTCACTTAGCTTGGTTTAGTACCAAACGCATGCAATTAACATTTGAGGCTGCAAGTAGCTGCTAGATACACCAACAACAATGTCCAGGCTGCAAGCGAAGAGCTTTAGGAGGAAATCATCTCACAGCCACAACAACAGGGTGCCGCGGCGGTGGCCGTCCAGGCTGGTGGACGGCTTCAGGAGGATGCTGGTGGGGCTCTTCTCCTTCCCGCCGCGGCCGCCCAAGGTGACCTTCTCCTCCGTCGACGACCACCGTGCCGGTGCAGGGGTAGCAGGAGGAGGAGGCGGCGGAGGCGGCGACGCGTCCAAGCGGTCGTCGTGGAGCAGCTCGAACCTGCACCCACTGAACGCGCACTACGACGAGGCCATTGCCGACTGCGTCGAGTTCTTCAACAAGTCCGCCAGGGTCGACCTCAGGTCAAGGCCACACTTTTGATAATCCGGCAGGCCGGCTGCCAATTATTGTGATCTGTCGATCTGGCTAATCTAGTGATCTATGCGGTCCCTGCATGATCCATGTTTAGGTAGTTCCATCCCATCGTCGTCCCTGCTGCACTTCATCGATCTCGATAGTAAAAGATCAATTTTTGGATCCCATAAGTTTCGTAGTCCAATCCGAATCTAAGGTATACCAAACAGGTTCTGTATGTAGATGACGTTGTGCATGTGCATCGATGTGTGTATATATTTCTCTCTGTGTACGTCTGCTCAAGATTAATAATCAGATCATGGTCGTTGCATGTTATCTTCTCTTTATGTCACTTGATGAAAATATGCCCACGCTTTGCTACGGGCAGCGCCCAATAGAGATATATTTTCTATTTATTTAATGTAACACCAATTCGAGGCATACCCTTCTAATTGGCACCGCAATCAGTGTCAAATGTAACTGCATAACTTTTAGTACACTAGTAGGGTCTGAGCATCCATGTACATCTCTTCTGATCACCTAGGGCGTCGTTAAGGCATGTTCAGATGGTGACATCACTGAGATTGACGATTTTACCTCAAAGTTGCGTGAGGCTATACGTGCGTCCCGCACGACACCACACCAACAAGACGTGCAGGGTACTGTGTGTATTGTAGGAGTGTTGTATTAAACTTTTTCTTTATCTTAATAAAAAGACGCGCAAACATTTTGCGTGATCGAGAAAAAATACAACACCAATGTTGGTATAAATTAACGCACACAGATAAATCTGCAAGCGCACGGATACCGCTGTAGCTTTCACCCGGAAGTATTCCAAGTATCGTATCCACAGAAAAACGTGTGAGACTAACTACGGTCTAACTTAACTAAGGGTAATTCAGGATAAGATATACATGATAAGTACATGATAATTGAGCATTGATAATGAATAGTTAACCACCCAGAGTACTCCTTTATAAGACATTAGCATAACCAGGTAGAAATTAGAGAGATAATTCATAAGTCATTCTTAGTTGCTAGTCAAAATATACGATGATTAGTCCAATTACACTTAGTAGTCATAGCCAAGATCATCTTTATATCTACACATAAGGGATATTACTAGGGAAGTTAAGAATATAGCTTGTTCTTCCTTCGTAACCGGATCCTACGTGCGCCTATATTCGGGGAGTGGACTACAAAGGACTGAACGGGAGTGTCACATCCGTGATCTACCACATGACCTAGAATATAGGGTGTATCCGCAGGTAAACAACGTATAAGCACCACGCTTATACAATGTCGACCACTCACCCTGTGCACATCGGAGCGAGCGCTATACAAACTTATGCATGGACATAATGATAAACTAGCTATACTTAGCATATAATCAAAGTAGACGATGAACATTATAACGAAGAACATGAATAGGATGAATACTAATATTGTCATAACAATTGTAGCAAGCATATAAAAGTAATGGAGATATAAAAGAGAGGGGATACAAAGATTATACCAAACCACGCTCTTGACAAGATCGGGAATCCAAGCAAAGCTTGCTTGCCTCTCTCTAGATCTAACCTAGCTAGCTATGCTCTAGAATGGAGCTATGAGGATTAGGGTTTGATCTCTGTCTTCTGCTCTAACTTATGTCTTAGGGAGAGGGGTAGAGGTTGCTATATATAGGACGAGGTGGAGTAGGGGGCAAGGAATCAAGATGGAGTAGGGGGCAAGGAATCGCCACATCATCGATCCACATCAACTCCCTCGATCACCATTGGATGAACCAACCTAAAACCGTTTTAGAATCAACGGTGTAGATTGTTAGAAGGAGTACGACGGCAGCGGAGGGTGATTGGTGAGCCCAGGGGGCCGGGCAGCCTGTAGGTGGGGCCGCCCAGCCCCACCTGGCAGTCTCTCGGGTCCTGCCTCAGTGTATTGCCTTCTAGTGTCTTCTAGATCCTTCCCAAGTTGTTTACACGGTGAAATTCCGTAATTTCCTTTGATGAATAGGTCATCCTTGGAGGTTTTCTAGATAAACCCTACTGAAAATACAGATTCACCAAAACTCATAGAATTTATTAGTTTAAACTCGTATACCTATGTTTGGTGATGGAATTAAGTATAAATATAGGTTATGTTGATGGTTTATAATTGATGTTAGTGACCGTCAACAAGTTCCTCCAAGCTTAACCTTTGCCAGTCCCTAAGTAAAGCTAAACTCAGCAATGGATTAGGAGTTGCTACAATATTTTCATGCCTCAAAAGTACACATATGTTCAGTCAAATATTCTCCTCCAGATTAGAATAAACTAATCTGACTTTCAAACTTACCCATATTACCTTCGACCTTGGGACTTCTTAACCTTCACTTGGATCTTGAGCAATTGAAAGACAGAACGATCAAGTCAAGCACTATATCTCAAGTTCTTTGTTCCACCATTGTTCCGAAGTTTTTATAATTTTTCAAAATAAAACTCAGAGATTCTATTGTATGACACTCTCAAGTCTCTCAATATATGTGGTATTTATGGATCCTCACCAAAGGTAGTAAAGTTGTTATGCCTTTTTTCTCTTTCTACAACTAAAGCTTATGTGGAGTTCATAGGTAGGGAGAAAGCTAGATCATACTCGCAATGCATATATTGTAAAGTCAAACAACAGATCCAAAGAGAGATGAGTCATACAATCAAATCAAGATGTGCATGTGTGTGGAATATATAGTGGATAACCTAATTCTATTTTGCTCCTTAAAAATATATCTCTCTTTTGAAATTTAGAAACACTTGCTAGAGAGCATGGGCTATCTTATTCATCTCTTTTTTTCAGACGGACATCTGAGTACCTATTGTTTTCACTATGTCGGACACTTGTCCATTTTTTAACTCTTTTTTTCTTTTCTTTCTTTTTTTATGAATAACTTTTGTATAGCCCCATGTACCTTTTCTGCAACATAACTTTTAAGAGATAGTAACAAGAACTTGAAGCATTTATTTGGTGGATGAAAAACCTAACAAGCATGTTTTTGATGTTCACTCCCAGCGTAGAAATAAAATATTTTTGGGTGGATCTAGATGGAAGGCATGTTTTGCGCCTACCCCTAGTGTAGGAGTAGTGGTGTGTGGGTGGTGTGTATGTGATCTTGATTTTAAGAGCATGGCAAACCTCTCATAAGGGTCAACAAAGCTTGGCAAAACTCAATGCAAAAGCAAGCAGCATATATGTGGAAGTTTTCCTAGTCTAAATAACATGTATGACTCTGGTGGGAATTTAAGCTTTGTCATATAGGAACTCATCATGTAGTATTTTTTTTGTTTTTCAAAAAGTAAATCTTCAGAACTTTAGTGTCACTTGGAACAACATAAACAGTAGCTCATACCTTCTGATATCATATCCGTAAATTACATAGACTTAGATCAAGCATATGCTACCCACGAGTTTCAAGTTCAGAGTAAATCCTTATATCAAAACAATCTGATCCAAAACTTAGGAAAATTTAAGGCTGAAAACTAGGTACTTGAAAGGAATTACAATAGAGCAACTATTCATCACTTCTATTTAAGAGATTATTCTGAGTCCTCCATATTTTATTCAACTCTTAAAAATAAATTAAAGAAAATAAGACACACCTTTTTATTTTGTTTTCAATTTTACTAGATCACACATTATTATTATAACTATATATATTTATTATATAGATAAATTTTTATTTTGTTTTTCATTCACCATTTTCTTAATTATTTAAAAGAAATTAAAACTAGAACAAAGGGGAAATAATACTTACCTAGATACACGGAAGTACTTCTCCCCCAAGCTAGCTCTTTTGGTGAGGGTTCGGTGTTGTAAGTTCTTTGAATCGGACATCTCCTTGTGAAGTTTATTGACCAAATACCTCGCTTTGCTCTAAAGAGGAGGATTCTTGTGGTGGTGCCTCTAATGGTGATGTCACCTTTTTCCGTCAAATCTGTCTTGATTTTGAGTTTTGATTTTGGTTTAACTTGTTCAGAACCTTTACTTGTAGGAATTGGAAAATCGACTATCTTCCCCCATACTTTACTTGAAGTGTGTCCTGCTCATAAAACAAGGTAGAGATCAAGTGTATGGGCTCTGTTGGTGGGAAAATACCAACAGAACCAAAACTTTATTTATTGTTCTCTATCCTTAGGCACATTGAACAAGATGAAGTTAATGTCTATGTGCTTTGTTTAATTATAACATGGGTGATAAGACTAAAAGATTATTTAGTGTAGCACCCGGTTTTAAGAACAAAACCACATACACACAATATGTGAGCCTAGGAAGTCAAATCTCATATACAGCTACAAATAAGGGTAATATCAATAGACAATGCTCAATATATAACGTACTTAGTATAAATAATATAACCTTAGATAGCAAACAGCGGAAAGACAACTTCGATCTTTAGGTGAAGACTCCAATTCCATAGGGACAACTGACTATTTGATCACAAGCCTAATTTCTCCAAACTCAAGCAATCTGGTACCCATCCAGGATTTTTCCAAAGTATTGAAAAAGTTAAGCAAGCGTAAGTACATGTCGTACTCAACAAATATAACATGGGGTTCATGAGGCTCAAAAGGCTAACACTAGTTTAACTGCGATTATCTTTTAATTGTCACAATTTTAGCATATGAGTAGCAACAAGTTTATCACAAGCCCATATAAACACATGATTAGGTAAACATAAATAACGAATAGCATAAATAGTAATCATTAGTGAGCATCTTTATCATCAGTATCATCAGTGTCCATCATCTATTACATAAGGCTCCAAGGCTACTCGTGACCATGAGCACGGCTGATATACCAGTTTTACACTCTGCAGAGGTTGTACACTTTTACTGTGAGTCGTGATTTATCCTTTCGCTCGAGGTGGCCAACCTCTTGACCCACTACCAAGGTTCGTCTAACAAGTTAGGGCCATTAGATTCACTCGGCAAACAGATATAGGAACCCCCTTGTTGAATGGCACAATTCCATCATGGCTATACACATAAGAGTAGAGG